TTGAGGTTGGGAAGGGTAATGCCTCCCCAGGTATTTTTCCCAAGAATTGCTTTAGCTATTCGTCTGCATTTGTTGTTCCATATGAATTTCAGGAGTGCATGATCTATTTCTTTGAAGAATTTCATGGGTATCCTTATAGGGATCACATTGAATCTGTATAATGCTTTTGAGAGTATTGCCATTTTGACGATGTTGATTTAAGGAAGCTATTTTAATTATGCTAGGAACATCCTTTAACAAATCTGCAGGCTGAGAATCATTTGCAGAATAAAAGTCATTTTAATTCAACCATTCTTTTACTTTGAATGCCAACACACTTTGATATAAAAATAGGGTGGTACTTGTTCTTATGCTTCCTGGAAGGCTGGAACCATTCAGTGGTTTAGTAGTGTGATTGTATTATTATGTACTGAGGGGTTTGTATCTTGCTAGATTCTTTATGTATTCCTTATTCACAATTCAATTCAGAGCTGTAAACATTTACAAATGAGATGAGAATTTCTCTCTGCATGAAACCAAGATTTCAGATAAAATTTGTGCTGTGTAGAGCCTCATGAGTGCACGAATACTTGCAATGTTTTTGTCATGTTTCATCACAAAATCTTAATTTATTACCTCAATGATTCATCACCAGTCATCTTGATATAGCAGGAGCAGAAGGGTGGAACGCCAGATGAATTTATCCCTTACTTTAAATCTCACCCTTGGAACAGGTAACCAATCAGAATAGATAATGGGATGACTGGACATGGCAGCAATAAAAGGAAGACCTCAGTTCCATCTCTGTCCCCTTGCTCCCTCTCAGACCCTCCCTCTCTTCAGTGTGCAATATCAGGTAGACTGAGTGCCCAGACAGATGCCCCAAAATGCTCAGATTCAGGCAGGGCTCAGACACCCAAGTAGTGACAAGGTGCTGAGCACAGAAGTCTTATCCAAGTGAACCTGACTGTGGCTGGAGACTAGGAAAGTTGGGACAAGATGACAAAAGACAGCTGGGGTACTGTTGGGAAGCCCGGCCTGAGAACACGTACAGAGCATAAGAATCTCACCAATGTATACATGGCCATGGCTGGAAACTCGGGGAAGCATACCTGGGTTAGAGAGTGATGCAGGGATGAGACCCGGCCTTCATTCATGGGAGGTGAGTAGACTGCATGGGACCATACAGGTATGGGAGAGTGTCAGGGACAAGATAGGTGAGATCATTCATGCATTCATAGGGTGGGAGAGTGTTAGAAATAGGATAGGTGAGATCATTCATGGGAAAGGAGGGATAAAGGATATGTATGAACATCTGGGGAGGGACCTGGACCTGTATGCTTTAATGTACAATTTTAATTTTCTGAGTTTGTGTAAAAATCATTCATACAGTTCCCAAGAGCCCAACAGCATAGGAAAAGCCACCTTTTATTGCTTTTTGGGTCACACCTGGCGGTGCACAGGGGTTACTCCTGGCTCTACACTCAGGAGTTACTCCTGGCGGTGCTCAGGGGATCATGTGGGATGCTGGGAATCGAACCAGGGTCAGCCACGTGCAGGCAAATGCCCTACCCCCTGTGCTATCTCTCCATCCCCAGGAAAAGCCACTTTGATGCTAGCAGTCTGATATGGTACTTTGCAGAACAAATAGATTTCCCCAAGTATTTTATTCAAGCCTTCTAATACAGCTAAGTGGAACAGTTAGTGATAGCTGCAGTAATATCAGTCAATTGATAAATTGAGTTAGTATTTTTTTCATGATATGGAATGGATCTGTATTTATCATTATAGAATTATGATGATATTCTAAAGAGTAGCATATAATAACATACCATTTTTCCTTTCAGTGGTCCACTTAGGCTGTTTCTATGCAAGAAGATAAAAGAACAGTTCTGAATTTATGTGATGTGAGGCATTTAAATTTTTCTAACTTTGTAACCAATATTCTGCTCTTGTTACCAATCTTATGCAGGAGCCCTTTTTACATTCTTTTTGCAATAATCTTAGAAAGAATTGAAACATGTGACGTATTCTATTTTACTAGTAGATGTTGGGCTGAGGTGGTATTGCAAACAAGCAATCCAGCGAGCAATAGAGACTCTGTCTAATTCTCAATATGTTTATTTCTTAGATACTCTCATTCTCACTGGTCTTTGCTCTGCGTCTAAGACCTCAAGGGTGCTTTCATTTCACTTGTGTGTTTAATGTTTAACCTTGTCTAGCTATGGATGGAAGGAAAAGAGCAAACACCAAACCCTCCTGAGAGACTCCTGAACTTTGTCATACAGTCCCCTAGAGGTGGATGTTTGATGATATTATCTTGAAGTTTTACAGGAATGGACTGCCATTTCTTAGGGATGTGTTAGACCACAGAGTAAAAGATAATGAAACCAAAGTCTCTGGAAACTGAACGCACTTTCACCTCATCCATACCAGATTTTTATTTTCAACTTATTTTTATCTACCATCCCTATAAACCTCTAATTACAAACTGGGAGTAAGCTGGTTTGGGTGAAGAAGAATTCCCCCATGCTCTAATATTGCTAATACATAAGCAAATCAAGGATATTTTTGGCACAAACTTTTGTCTTTCAAGTTTTGACTTTCAAGCTAATAGCAGCCACATTTGGGTTTATAGTAATAATGATATTGTTATTTGCATGGAGATATTGGTTCAGTCGCTGATTCTGAACATGAGATTTAAGTTAAACAGAAGAAGAAAAAGCAAGGCAGACAAAACCAGTTTGAGGAATTCATAATGAATTTCTAATTAGTGACCCTGATTTTTTACTTCTGTATTTTATGAATTTTTTAAAAAAAATTATTAGTGAAACAACAGGAGGTGCAGTTGTAGACTTACAATTTTTTTTGCTTGGATTTCAATTATACAATGATCAAATACCCATTCCTCCACCAGTACCCATTTTCCACCACCACGGGTCAGTATCCCTCCCACCCCCCATTCCCCCATCCCACCCTGCCTCTGTGGCAGGACATTCCCTCTTGTTCTCTCTCTCCTTTTGGGTGCTGTGGTTTGCAAAAGAGGCATTGAGTGGCAATCATGTTTGGCTATAGTCTACTTTCAGCATGCTTCTCCCATCCTGGGAGGATCCTCCCAGCAGCCTTTATTTGGTGCTCCCTTCTCTATCTGAGCTGCCTTTTCCCCTACCATGTGTGACTGGCCTCCAAGGAGCTTTTTAAAGTTTAACTCAAGGCAAAAGTATGTTCTAGAAATAAACATGTCTAAAATTTTTACATACAAAAATGGAATTAGATACAAGTATGATTTAATTATATCTTTTGATCAATATTGTTATAGGTTACATTTCCTCTTTAGAATGTTTTAAAACAAATTGTGGGGAAGAATCCAGGGACATGGCAGAGGAGAAAGTACCAGAAATCTCTCTGCATAGATAGTAATTGCATTGACAGATTCTGTTTGGTGTAGCTATTTTGGAACTCTAAATTCTGTAGAGGTTTTTTTCAACTTCCAGAGGAAGTTTCTCACAATTTTCTTTCCCAGGATTATCTTTGTGATTTTAAACTTATTACTTCTATATTTTTATATTGGTACAAAAATGAGTTAAAAATATAAAAAATAAAATTAAAAATAGTTACTGTTTTGTATTGAGCTACACCTAACTCATTAAAATGTACTTTGTGAACCAAATATTTGAAAGAGATAGGGCTAGAGCTAAAAAGAAACAGACTTTTTGTATATCATCAGAGTTAAGTTTTACTTTATGACGTTTTCCACAGTTCTCATTGATAAAAACAAAACACTGTCCTCCCGTTGTTCATCGATTTGCTTGAATGGGCCCAGTAACGTCTCCATTGTGAGACTTCTAGTTACTGTGTTTGGCATATTGAATACTCTCGGTAGCTTGCCAGGTCTCTGAGAGGGATGCAGGAATCGAACCCGGCTCAGCCGGGCTGGCTGTGCGCAAGGCAAACTCCCTACTGCTGTGCTCCCTCATTGATAAAAAGAAAGAAAATGACTATAGAATATACAAAAAAAGGAAATTAGAATGGAATTCAAGAAATTCACAAAATTGTGGGAATGAATCACACATTTTTAAACAACTAGTGAATCAAGGAAGAAATTACTAGAGAAATTAGAAAACACAGAGGAATGAAAATGCGAGCATGCCTACAATCTGGGACACAGTAAAAAGCAGTTTCAGCAGATATTCATGGCAATATAGGCTCAAAATGAAAATAAAGTTCTTGGGAGGCATGGGAGATAGCTCAAAGTTCTGAAGTCCAGATTTTGATGGAGTCCCAGATTCAATCTCTGGTACTGCAGGGTTTTTTGAATATTGGCCATAGCTTCCCAATCTTCCAAAAGAAAGATCTTCAATTTACAAACATATTTTACAAAATAAAGATCTTAAGCTAAAATGAAATCTAGGGAAAGGAAGGAAGTAAAGTTTAGAGTAGATGCACATGAAATAGCAAATAGGAGAACATAGGGAAAATTCAGTGAAACTAAAAACTGATTATTTGCAAAGTTCAACATGACAGAGTTTAGTTAGATGCATGAAGAATAAATATGAGAATTCTCAATAAAATAAAAAATTGTAACATTCTTGCTTATTCTACGTAAATAAAGAGGATCATAAAAGATGACTATGAAGGGTTGAAAGATTCTTTGAAATGCAAAACTTTGTAAAACAAAACCAAGAAAAATTAGAAAGTTTGGGTCGATTATAATTAGCAAGAAGAGTGAATTTGTATTTAAAATATCTTGTGGCAAAGAAAAGCTCTTGACCAGAAGGCTTTACTAGTGAACTAATTTTGAGAACTAACTCCAGTTCTTCTAAAAATTTCCAAAAATTGTAAGAGGAGGAAATACTTCATAATTTACATCCGAAGATCATTATAACAAAGTCAGACAAAGATATTACAAGAATGTAAAACGGAAAAATCTTCTTTATAAATATTTAATAGTCTTCAAAAATCAGATGGGCTGGACACGTAATGAGATTTGGAGATGACCGCTGGACGAGAGCCGTTACTGACTGGATTCCACAGGATGTCAAAAGACTGCGTGGCCGCCCACCTACCAGATGGTCAGACTTCTTCATCAAGATCCTGAATGATCAGTTTGAGGCTCTTCCTGTTCCTAGAACAAATAGACGCCACTGGGCTACACTAGCACACAACAGGGACAAATGGAGACGTTACTGGCACCTGCTCGAGCAAATCAACGATTAACGGGAAGTCAAGTGATCAATATTCAATAAGATATTAGCAAAATAAACTTAGCATAAAAAGATTATAAATAAGAACACGTGGAATTTTTTAGTGGAAAGCAAGGATGGCTTAACATATAAAAACCAGTGATACTTTTTTCTTTCATTAATAAAAATGGAAGAAAAAAAGCATGATCATGTTAAATATATAAAAAAGCATTTGATGAAGTTTAACACTTTTTCAACATAAATATACTAAATAAAACTACACACAAGAGAAAACTACTCAACAGAATAAAAATTTTATATGATTAACACACAGTGAGATTATACTTGATTATGAAACACTGAGCTAAGGTCAGGAGCAGGGCAAGCAACGTCCACTCCTGCCACTTCTCTTTAAAAGGGTACTAGAAGTTAGAGGCAGAGCAAGTGGGTAAGAAAAATGTATATTTCTTCAAAAATCTAAATTTTGAAGAAGTGAAATCACCTCTATTTTCAGATATCAAGTGGTATGCTCTTATAGGTAGAAAACTCTGAAGATTTTACAAATACCTGTTTGAACAAATAAATAATTTCAAAGGGATACAAGCCAAACTATCATTATTTTCACATACATGAAAATGTACATAAGAAACCCCTAAAGATTCCACTATTTTTTTAAAAAACTATAGACTAGTATAGCAAAAAAGTGGGTTAAAAAATCAATACACCTAAACCCCCCAAATTATTTATGCAAATAATTATCTACAAGAAAAGAGATAAAAGTGACCAATGCATTTAAAATAGTGTCTGAAAACATCGAATACCTAAGGATCAACTTAAAATATGTGAGACACCTGTACCTTGAAAACTATGCCATTTATGAAAGGAATAGATGAGAACATAAGGAAATGGAAATATATTCCATGTTCATGGATTGGAAGAATTAACATTCTCAAAATGACAATTCTACCCAGACATACTTAATACAATACAATTTGTATAATTTAACACAATTATACATATTTAATGCAATTCTCATCAAAATTCCAAAGACATTCTTTAAGACCTCAGAACAAACAATACTAAAATTTGCATGGAATATAAATTTCTCTGAATGACAGAAGTCATTATGAGAAAGGAGGTGGAAGCTATTGCATTTTCTGACAAAATTACACTGTAAATTCATGGCAATTAAAGAAAACATGGTACTAAAATAAGGCCTGACCTTTCTTGATTCTGGACTAGAATTAAAAGCACAGAAATACATCTTAAAGCCTATGGATATCATTCTACAATAAGAAGCTTGGTGAATGAAGTAGAGCAAGAAAACCCTCTTCAACAAATGGTAGTGGGAAAACTGGACAACCACATGCAGAAAAAAAATGGATTCATATCTCACATCATACACATAGGTTAATTCAAAGTGTATTAAAGACCTAGAGATTAGATCATAATCCATAAAATACATAGAAGAAAAAAGAGAAAACATTTCAGGATCTGGTTATCAAAAGTGTCCTCAACAATTTGATTCCAGAGAAAAATACAAGAAGAAAAAAATAAAAATAAGCAAAAAGGACCAAATCAAAGTTTAAAGTTTTGCATGACAATAGGAGTACAGGTTAATATATTAAGGCGCCCTACTGGATGTGAGAAAACACTTGAGAACAATACATTCGATAAATGACTTAAATATCCAAGGTATCCAACTGCTAATAAAGCACCTAGAAGCTCAACACAAAACAAATCCACCAACTTCATCAATAAATGTGCCAAGGAGATGAATAGACCCTTTCCAAAGAAGACATACAGATGGTTTATGGGTGTATAAAAAGTGTCTGTTAATTATTATCAGGGAAATCCAAATTAAAATGATAACTAGCTGTCATCTCATGCCATTGAGAATACCAAGAACATGGGGCAAAAAATAGTGTTGGTGCTTGTTGGAAGGCTTTAGGCTTTGTCAGTGAATTGCCCCTTCCTCTCACCCCACCAGAGGAACATACAGCGCCCTTATGAGCACCTCTAATCCATTGAGTTGATCCTTAACTTTTCCTTTGTGCTTTACCTCTCATTGTTACATATCCTAAGTTCAGCCTTGGTTATTTATAAGTCAAAACTTTCTGGTAACTCTGGACTTTGTAGTGAATTATTTGCCTTACTATTTCCCCTATAGCCTTTTCATATTTTACTATACAGTAATGTTCTTTGCTCGGCATAGAAAGGCCATTAATGCCATGCTTCTACTATTTGGGAGTCAATTGATTTTGAAATATTTCTACTCCTGGGCATCCATCATAATTACACGTCTCAAGCTGTGGTTGCCATAGGGAGTACGTGGTTCCTTAATATATTAGGCTGTACTCTTATTAACACCCCAAAAGGGAGGTCCTGCCACCGGACTGGGATGGACCTGGGGGGGTGGCAAAGCATTGAAATGAGACAATCTAGAAGCATAAAAGCATGTCTTGATGTAAGCCTTTATGACTTTAAAGATAGGACCCCCATGTGTAAGGAAGTACTAAACTGGCCTGAGGACCTAGTCTGGGACTAAGGTTTTTTTAAATTTTATTAGTGAAACGCCATGAGGTACAGTTGTAGACTTACAAACTTTCGTGCTTGGGTTTCAGTTTTACAATGATTCAGTACCCATCCCTCCACCAGTGCCCATTCTCCACCATCAATAATCCTAGTAGCCCTCCCACCTCCACACCCCATCCCCCCCACCCTGCGTCTGTGGCAGGGCATTCCCTTTTGCTCACTCTTTCCTTCAGGGTATTGTAGTTTGCAACAGAGGTATTGAGTGGCCATCGTGTTCGGTCTATAATCTACTTTCAGCATGCATCTTGCATCCCGAGCGAGTCCTCAAGTTTTGGAATCTATATCTCTTACTGTGTTTATCCAAATAACCACAAGTATTAAAGGTAAAGGCCCTCCCGTTGATCGTCGATTTGCTCGAGCGGGCCCAGTAACGTCTCCATTGGAGACTTTGTTGTTACTGTGTCTGGCATATCGAATACTCTCGGTAGCTTGCCGGGCTCTCCGAGAGGGGCGGAGGAATCGAACTCGGGTCGGCCATGTTGGCCGCTTGTAAGGCGAACGCCCTACCCGCTGTGCTATCGCTCCAACCACAAGTATTAATAAGAATTAAACTTAATTGTTTAATATTTACTTGTAGCTAGAGAAAGAGAAAAGCAATATAATGCTTGCCACCCCTGGATGAATTGCTGCATATAGTGCCTGGGAGAGAGAGTGTCTCCTAGGTTAATGCCCCCAAGAGAATTGTTTCTGTAAACGATCAATCACACCTATATGCAGTCCTATACATAGAACCCTCTCAGATGTGCTCTAAGTGTGCTAACAGCTCGCATTAAAAGGACATTTTGACCATCAATCTGTGGTCCCTGGACTCTTTGTTCCTCTGCTGAGGAGGCTGGTGTGTGTGTCAGAGAGGGGCAGTTCTTGGCTACCAAATGCAAGTGTCATACACCCACATTTTAAACTCACAGATGGTGATGTGATAAAAAAAGAAAAGAAAAGAAAACAAGTCTCTTTACCTGGTGGCATTTTGTATGGTCCAGGTGCTGTGGAAAACAATGCAGATTTCTCCAAAAAGAATAAGGCTCCCATATGATGCAGCAGTTTCACTTCTTGGCATCAACTACCAAAATATAAAAAATATATATATTTAAAAAGATACGTGAACACCTATATTTATTGCAGTGCTTAGTAAAATCACAAGGATATGGAAATAACTTTAATGTTCAGGAGCAGAGAGATGGGCTGGAGCGATAGCACAGCAGTAGAGCATTTGTCTTGTATGCGGCTGGCCCCGGGTGAGCCGGGTTCAATTCCTCTGCCCCTCTCAGAGAGCCCGGCAAGCTACCTAAAGTCTCTTGCCCGCATGGCAAAGCCTGGCAAGCTACCCGTGACGTATTCAATATGCCAAACACAGTAACAACAAGTCTCAAAATGGAGATGTTGGGGTTAGAGCGATAGCACAGCTGGTAGGGTGTTCGCCTTGCACGCAGCCAACTCGGGTTCGATTCCCAGCATCCCATATGGTCCCCCGAGCACCACCAGGAGTAATTTCTGAGCCAGGAATAACCTCTGTGCATTGCCGGCTGTGACCCAAAAAGCAAAAAAAAAAAAAAAAATGGAGACGTTACTGGGCCTGCTCGAGCAAATCGATGAACAGCAGGAGGACAGTGCTACAGTGCAACAGAGAGATAGATATAGAGGTTGTGCATAACACTATGAATCCACAAGAAAGGATGAATCATACAGTTTGCTGCAACATGGATGGAATTGAAGAGTACTATGTTAAGTGACGTAAATCAGAGGGAGAGAATAAATACCAGATGTATTCAGTAATCTTTGGTAGAGTAACAAGACAAGAGAATTGGTCCTTGATTGTAGAAATTAGAATGCTAAGAGGAAGGATAGTTTCCTATGGATGATGCATAGTGCACATACATAAAGATACTAGTTGAGGATCTTGGATACTTTTTTTTCAATGGAGAATGTTTTTAATTAGGTCTATTAGAAATAACCTTTCAGTTTTTACAAAGGAAAAGTCTGGAACTTATATAAAGGTTACATTATGATCTCAAAACATTAGCATTTTTAAAATTTTATTGAATCACCATGAGACAGTTACAAGCTTTCATGTTTGGGTTACAATCACACAATGATCAAACACCCATCCCTCCACCAGTGCACATTTTCCACCACCAATGTCCCCCGTATCCCTCCCCGCCCCGAGCTGCCCTCCCCGCTCCTCTATGGTAGACAATTTCCTACTTTCTCTCTACTTATGTGTTGTGAAATCACTAAGCCACTAGGATCCCACAGCTGTCTGTCTCTCGCTGCCTGCGTTCAGTGTTCTAATGCAGCTTGCCCACCAGGGACGGCCGATACCATGGGTGGACAAAGGAGGGAACGAGGGCCAGGCTGGTTGGTGATCAGTAGCCATTTATTCTATTCTCCCCACATGCCTGTTCCAATCTCACTAAGCTCGCTATTCCGGTCTCACACTGTCCCTCATTCATGTCTCCTCCTGTCTGCATTGCTAGCTCTCTGCGTTTTGACGCCCCACCTTGGTCTCTCTCTAGTATCCCAACCTCCCAGCATTGAGGGTAGCAACCACACCTAGGTCTGGTGCACAATCAACATATGAAAGCCCTTCTTGATCTCCTGTAGCCAGGAAATATGGCTCAAGGGCAAAATACCATCTAGGGTTTTTTCTCCTTTCCGTAACCATTTAAACATTCATCTTAATTGTACTTCTTCATTTTTGGAGGGGGGGGGGAGGGGGGGTCACCTGGCGATGCACAGGGGTTACTCCTGACTCTGCACTCAGGAGTTACTCCTGGCGGTGCTCAGGGGACCATATGGGATGCTGGGAATCGAACCCGGGTTGGCCGCGTGCAAGGCAAACAACCTACCCGCTGTGCTATCTCTCCAGTCCCGTTAATTCTACTTCTTAATATTAATTAGTTGGGGCTGGAGTGATAGCACAGTGGTAGGGCATTTGCCTTGTGCGCAGCCAGCCCGGCCGACCCAGGTTCGATTGCTCCGCCCCTCTCGGAAAGCCTGGCAAGCTACCGAGAGTATTCAGTATGCCAAACACAGTAACAAGAAGTCTCACGATGGAGACGTTACTGGACCCGCTTGAGCAAATCGATGAACAATGGGAGGACAGTGTAGTTCAATATTAGTTATTTTGTATGGATACAGTAAAAGATACATTAAGCTTGTAGGGTGGCTCTCCTGGTGACATCTCACTATAGATCCCAGATTACAGTGCTCAGGCCAGATTAATCTTTCCTAACCCTAGCAGGGTCCTAATCCACAGTCACAGTCACGGTTCTCCCGTTGTTCATCGATTTACTCGAGCGGGCCCAGTAGCGTCTCCATTGGAGACTTTGTTGTTACTGTGCTTGGCATATCGAATACCTCACGGGTAGCTTGCCAGGCTCTGCCGTGCGGGCGAGATACTCTCGGTAGCTTGCTGGACTCTCCGAGAGGGGCGTAGGAATCGAACTTGGGTTGGCAATGTTGGCTGTGTGCAAGGCAAACTCCCTACCGCTGTGCTATTGTTCCAGCCCTGGTCCTACTCCAGTTGTTACTTTTTGGACCATCACAGAATTTGTCCATGATCATACTCTTAACTTACAGTTAAGTATTATGGCTTTTTTGCCTGGCCCATTTCGATGCCAGGGTAGCTCACAGCTTGCCCTGGGTCCATCCAGTCCCTCGTCAGGACCCTGCTTTTGTGATGCTAGGAACTAAGGGCAACTGAGGCTTAAGTTGAGAAAACAGATGCCCAGGAGTGAATATTATTTGGAGTCAATTAACTCCCAAGTTACAAAAGCATAGCATTAAATGTCTTCTGTGTGTATACAAAAAGGACATTGATTTGAATTAATTATGCAAAGGATATAAGGAGAGAGAAGAGCAATATTTACAAGTTAACAGAGTCTGATTAGGAGATAAAGGTGATTGACCTATTGGGGAAGCATAGCACAAACAAAGAGTTTACAGATAAACACAGGGAATGGGAGTGCCTCAGGAGCATTGTGAATGGGTGCAACCCAATAAAGTTAAGCTCCCTGTGGTAAGGCAGAAAGGACAAACCAATGCTATCCTACAATGGGTATTATGGTTTGCAATACAGATAATGAAAGGCCATCATGTTTGGTCCTTTATCTATATTCAGCACACATCTCCCATCCTAAGCGGTACCTCCAACTATCGCTGACTTAGAGATCCCTTCTTTATCCTAACTGCCTTCTCCCCAAGCTCATAAGGAAGGTTTCCAACTATAGGAAATCTTTCTGGCCCTTGTCTCTACTGTCCTTGGGTGTTAGGATATTATGATATTTTATATTCATATTCCATAAATAAATTCCACTACCCAGTCGCCATCACGCTCCAGGCCACTTTCCCGGTGCTTAGGGCGAGCTTCACACATTAGTGAAGCCCCACAGAATCAGGAAAAGTGGACCTTTGTGACCATGGACTCCAGGCTCAATGGGACCCGGAAACAGAGATCCTCTGCCTGCTTCCAACAATCTCCGGTGACTCAGGGACCACAACCAGAAGACCCACCCTGCTGGTGCCAGATAAATACCTCATTGGCCAACCTCCACTACCTCCACTACCCAGCCATCACCACACTCCAGGCCGCTTTCCAGACACGTAATAAGATACTTAATACCCATTCTCTGCACCATATTTGATGAAGCTCAAACACGGTGTGAACCATGGGAACACCTGTAAGGGCGATTAGAGGCCGCCCTAAAAGCCTCCATCTTTCTCGGAGAGTATGGCAAGCTACCGAGAGTATCCTGCCCACACAGTAGAGCCTGGCAAGCTACCCGTGGATATTCGATATGCCAAAAACAGTAAAAGCAATGGGTCTCATCCCCCTTGATCCTGAAAGAGCCCCCAATATGGCAGCATTAAGAAGGATGAGCAAGGAGAAGCTGTTGAACTCTCAGGGACGAACTAGGCTGCCAAAATGAATAAGGACTAAAATGACTGTCTGTACTTTCAAGCCACATACACTGTCATTGGAAGAGTTCATTGAGGACCTGATGGTGCAAGCACAGAAGATCAAGTATGACATCATTGGTCTGACCAAGACGAGAAGGCATCAATCACATCATGCCATTTTTGACACTGGAGAAGAACTGTTCCTCAGAATATGCGACAATAGAGGCATCAGTGCTGTTGGTGTCCTTATCAACACAAACTTGACCATGAGCACTGATTCATTCAAATGCCTAACAACCCGAATCGGATGATTACACTTGAATATATGTGGCTCACTGCCAGCAGTTTCTAGCTTCGTTGTCTACACACCAAGATCCAACTACGATGAAGAATAAATTAAGTTCTACATTGAGCTGGAGAAGTTCTATGACGAAGACCGCACCTTCTACAAGATCATTGTTGGTGATTTTAATGCCAAGATAGGACCAAGATCAGCCGAAGAACTCCAGATCAGGACCCATGGCCTAGAATGGAATGAACAGGGTGAAAGACTGTCTGAGTTCATCATGTCGACCAAGATCATCCATGGTAACTCACAGTTCCAGAAGGCCGAATCTAAATGTTGGACATAGGAGTCTCCTGGTGGAAAATTCCACAGCGAAATTGACCACATCATATTCAATCATCGGTTTTGCCTGACCGATGTCACTATTGTTATAAAATTCCAAACGGGATCAGACCAGCGTCTCCTTTGTGCAAAATTCTACTTCACAGAGTGGGGAGAAAGGACTACAAAGTTTAAGAAGAGAACTTTCAGAATGACTACTAACTGGGAGCTCTTTGGCACTATTGTGGTAACGTGGGAAGATGCCATCATTGACAACATTGACGAGGAACACCATCAACTGGTTCAGCACCTCCGTGACTGCATGAGGAATGCCGAGAGTGTGAAAGCCACAAAAAGATGCCTGGATTCGGAAACTCTTTAGCTCATTCGCCAAAGTGGTTTGGCATGAGCCTCAGGCAACCACAAGCTAATGTCTGAGCTCACAAAACTGTGCAGAGAAGCGATAAAGGAAGACCTCAAAGAGAGAAGAGCAGCAGTGTTGGCCAATATGGCAGAAGCCGGGAAAAATATTCGTAATGCTCGCCTGTCCTTTG